TAAATTAGTGTCACGAGATATCTGGACCACCCCGCAGAAAGATGACTCCAAAGCGCCCCTCTCGAGGGTATTTGGCCTACTCTTCCATTGCTGGCCAGACACCAAGGAAGAGGTGGGAGTACTCACATTTTACCCCACCACACGCGACCTACTGAACAACTAACTGTGATTAGCTATTTATACTTCTGGGTTGACAGATGTGCGGGGGAGGGGGGTCGGGTACATTTAAGAAATGTGCCCATTGCTTCTACTGCCACGCCGGGAGGTCGAACGACTAACCTCTGGGTTGCAATTCCAGTCCGCTAGCCGTCAAACCACCGGCAGTTTGATAAAACAAATTCACTGCAAACACCGATAGATCTGATCACTGAGACACATGGAAAGGCAAAGTATGTTAATTACAATGGTTATAGAGATAGTTATACATACTAGATACAGACTCACTCGGTTTTTTAAAATAAAAAGAACTCACATATTCATGTGCATTTGCCTGTACCGGAATGCACCGTACATGTCTGGGATAAGGTTTGTACTGTTGGAATGAATTAACTTGCACGATGGACAAATCTACTGACGACTAACAGATGCAACGTGTGTTCTACACACTCAGCAATTATCCAGCGGGCATCCCGGAAATTGAACAATGCAGGAAGGAGAAAATTAAAGATGAACATGATGTTCTTCCAAATAATAAATACAGGCATGTAGTGTGCAAAGGGGAAACTCGCTGATTCAAAATTGGTTTCTTTTTGGGTTGGAGCGTGCGGGATTATCTCAATTACAACTACAAAGCGCCACTACCCAACAAAGCTAAACAATTACATTCGTTTCGTGGGCAAAACGTGCAAGTGTGATCCTGGTTTTCAGCGAAACCGGTAATGTTGAATAGCGAGCGACGTTTCGACGATTGTGTCCGAAGTTTCGCTGGAGATTACATCCAGCACTGAGGAGTTGGGCGGCAAAAGCTCAGATCTGGGCGCTTCAGGAGGTGTCACAACATCACCTGAGCAGCCTCGCGAATGAACCGGATTATTATAGCCAGCTTTGATTGCTGATTGATTGGCTGTCATTTGCAGGGTAAAGCCATGGGGGCGGAGTTTGCAGGTGGACACGGGGATGGGGGCAACGCCCCGCCCAAACTGGACACCTTCATTAATTTATTTTCAGTAGTTTAAAAATAAGATGAAAAAATAATTAATCATATGCACCTGAGATTCTTAATGTGGGTGATAAAGCAACCCCCCCCCCTTCTCCCAAATATATAAGTCAAACTCCGCCTATGGGTCAAACTATCTCATTGTTGGTGAAAATAGGTCATTCTTGATTATATATTAAGGTGTTGATATTGATTATTGTAAAGCTTAATTGTTCATAACTATCAGGTATTATTTATAATTGATTCACGTGGTAGAGAGACGGACAGACAGATCTGTGCATAATGTGGGCAACGATAACGCTCACAGACATGATCCTAAATACAACTTTAGCGAATGGTTGTGTTTATATTAGTGACGTGCCCGATTGAAAACAGTTACCAAAGGAATTCCCACAACTTGGAAACACAAACTGCAGCAAAAAGTATGTTAGAAAGTGTCAGATAATTCATAAGTATGCATGATTTTTATTTCTTGCTGTTGTATATATTATCAGGTTCATCAGCTTGCTCACAAAAACACACAGACACAAATATGCATATGGGTGATTGCACAGTATTGGAAATCCAAGGGGCAATGCGGGCATGTGATGGGCGGTTTAATGTATCACACCAACCTGCTGTGCGAGAACATTGGGGGGCCGATTCACTGTACATTTTGCTTTCACGCTTTGATGGAATTCTGGCATTCGTGTTGAGTGAAGGCGACTTAATGATGGAAGTAAGCGAGTCGAATTCAAAGGTCAGGCACCGGCGGTACTGAATGTGTTGCCGTGTGGTGGTGCACGTATGTGGGATAATTGTCAGGTTCGGTGAAAACCTGCGGGCCTACCAACACCTTTCCCTGAACCTTTGCGTGCTCTTTGAAGTTAAAATGATAAGTTATTTCCCCGTCCAAAATGCTTGTTAATGTGTGAACCTATGCGTGGCTTTAAATTTCATCTGATGGACTCAAAAATAAAAATAGACACCGTGGTGAAACATTCAAAATCTCTGTGGTGGCAGCCAATCTCTCCATAGAGCCACTATCGATTTCCTTGGGAGAGGTATTGAATAACATACGATCACATAGCCTGGGACCAGTGCTGGCAGAGTATGTACATGAGACCAGGCAGATGCTTCCAATTTAATCCTAGACCCGAAGCACTGCACACCCTCTAAACTGCCACCTGCTCCCCCTACCTTTTAACGGGATCTAGGGCAATGCGTTGGCCGGTCTTGCGTAAAAAATCCTGCAGCTATAAGTCAATACCAAATGCTATACGGTGGGTGGAACGGTGGGGCACAGCGGTTTCCACTCTAAGCTATGAATCTGTTGACCTCAGTTTGATTTCCAGCCACAGCTAACATCAGTGGTGAGTGATATCTGAGCCAGTCACCGTCTCCTCCCTTCATTCACCAACCTTCATCCAGCAGTGTATTGCGAAGGGTAGCAATTATTATTATTTAGATTCTGTACGTGTATTGGCTTCGTCAAATAGCCAGCCTACGAACTAAGGCCAAGTGGTGTGGGGAGCGATACGATCTACTAACCCATACTGACGACTCGCCACCACCAACTCAGCAAACTTATGACATTGCACACGCAAGTCAATGACTGCATGCCAGCAGTTCAAGGAATCCCTCGATGAGATACCGTTACAATCTTTTCAGCGGCCTCTCGCCGAGAAATGAATACAATCTCCGTGAAGAACGTCAGAGAAGATCCCGCAGAGGGGGGCATCACGTGGCTTCGAGCACTCTTACCCACACTGCATTGCGCACATTTACCAGGAGTTCCCTTGGTTCTGGTTGATGAATCGGCAAGACTGTCAACAAATTAGAACTGTAATTCAAAGATAATAAAAACAAATTCCGGTAGACCCCCCCCTAGAACTCTCCCGGGCACGTCCCACTGGGCGAAGACCCCGTGGCCGGCCCAGGACACGCTGCTGCTGCTGGTGGGACGATGTCGCTCGGCTGGCCTGGGAACGCCTGGGATTTTCCCCGGAAGAGCTGGGGTCTTTGTATAGTAGTGTTTAGTGTATAGAGTAGTGGATAGTGTAGTGTATAGTAATGTATAGTAGTGTATATTGTACTGTATAGTGGTTTAGTGTATAGTGGTGTAGTGTATAGTAATGTATTGTCGTGTAGTGTATAATAATGTGCAGTAGTGTGTCGTAGTGTATAGTGTAGTTTATAGTAGTGTAGTGTATAGTAACGTATAGTCGTCTAGGGTATAGTAATGTATTGTAGTGTAGTAGTATATAGTAATGCAGTGCTGGAGTATGTGGCCAGGGAGAGGGAGGTGTGGACCGCCACTACTCAACACGCTGCTTTAGTGTATAGTGTAGTAGTGTATAGTGTAGTAGTGTATAGTGTAGTAGTGTATAGTGTAGTAGTGTATAGTGTAGTGTAGTAGTGTATAGTGTAGTAGTGTATAGTGTAGTAGTGTATAGTGTAGTAGTGTATAGTGTAGTAGTGTAGTGTATAGTAATGTAGTGCTGGAGTCTATGGCCAGGGAGAGAGAGGTGTGGACCGCCACTCCTCAACACGCTGCCGCCGCGACCCTCACCAGGACAAGTGGACTGAGAAATGAACGAAATGACACTTTTCCAAATTCCGTAATGAGTGAGAAATGCTCCTAAAATACCACGATTTTGGACACACTCAAATGAAGCACCTTTTTCATTCACACTGCGATAGCGATGGCGCGTTGACTTGTGTGTACGTGCTGAACCATCGGCTCGCTAGGGTGGCTTTCACAATTGTGCTGCGTCGCTTTCGGAAGAATGAACTGAATGAGCTCCCGGCACGCAGAGCCAAACGTCGGATATCGTGCTGAATAACACGGCGCATGATTTCTCAACTACACTATAGAAAAGTGACGTTTGCAATTACACCTCATGTATAATTTTAGGATGATTTTGAAATTGTGACTGTTAGGCTGGCCAAACTCGTGGGTCCACCAAGTTGCTGAGCACAGCCCAGAAAACATAGAACATTGGCCCAACGTTGGCTCAACGTTGGCCCAACGTTGGGCCAATGCTTCCAACCACATGCCAACATTGGCCTCTACGTTGCACGGTGACTGGGAGGTCCAAAGGCCCACAATGTAAAAATCGCACGCAACAAAACCATAATCCCAAAAAAGGAATTGAACCTCGACTGCCAGGACTGTAGCACCGGCCTGCCACCACTGAGTCATGATGACCTGCCAACAACCACATAACACTGCGCACCACATGCAGTCCATAATGAAATGTAAGATGTGCTGTGTGCTGTATGTAGGAATGGTCATAGAGTAACCTGGCAAGGTGGATGTGAGCGTTGGCTAATTCTGGCTTCGAAATGATGACAGTGGAATGGTGATGCATGCTCGTGTGTATTATTCACACGGCGAAAATAACGGACGAACTTGCAAGGTTTATCGTGCTTCTGTTATTGCATTTTGAGTTTTATTTTTAAGTGTGGTCCTGGGCGCGTTTTCACTGTGACAGAGGGTAACGGATCAAAGTGAACGAACACGCTTCTCACACGTGTGTGCGTGCGTGCGTGCATGCCGGAGAACGGTAGTGCAGTGGTGAGCGCACTGCGCTACGAATCCAGCGACCCGGCACCAGTGGCGATTATCTGAACCGATCCTGGGCCTTCCCTAGGTCGACTCAGTCTCAAATGAGTACCTGGTGCGATGTGTAAACATCACCACTGGGAGACAAAGGCGTGGTGCTGGCCACCCACCCCCTCGTGTGCCGTGCGGGCCTTCATAGGCGCTCGCTAACCGCACTTGCCCCAACAGTCTGTCGCAGGCTATGCGGGGGATCTTTGTCTTTGTGCATGCCATGGCATTCGGTGGTCGCCCTCTCACCAGCGGTGCCGCAGGAGGCGTTGGCGCGCGACGTGGCGGTGCGCCCCGCGTCCCGCAGGTAGATGAAGTGCGGCCGTCGGTGGACTCCCTCCCCGTCCGGCGCGGGCTCCATGAAGTACTCGCCCTCGCGCGTGCGGAAGGTGCCCACCTGCCACGCGCGGCGACGCACGGAGGGGCCGGGCGGTCAACGCAACTCCGCTCACTTGTTTGCATGTTCACGCGCGCGCGTGTGTGTGTGTGAGTTGAGTTGAGCGAGCGGTGCTGGCCACCCACCCTCTTGTGTGCCGTGCCGGCCTTCATCGGTGCTCGCTAACAGCACTTGCCCCAACAGTCTGTTAAAGGCTTTACGGGGTGATTGTTGTCTGTGTGAGTGCGTGCCAGTGCGTGAGCCACTGTTATCGGATATGTATGCATGTTGAACCGTACATAGCCAACCATGCTAATAGAAGGTGCCAATAAAGTCGACGTCAAGCTAGTTATTGTCCAAATGGGGGGAATTCCAAATTCCTCTGGCGAATCCTTATTACGTGGTGGGCCATTCCAATGCTGGCAATTGTTCCTGTATAGGCTCATGTCAAGCAGCTGTCCTACTCAAGCCAACATGGGGAGGTTTTCTTCTCAAAGGCTCCACTTGTCCCCAGCAAGTGTTATGGATTTTTCTCAATGTTACAAAACAATTCTGAAATCCCAACTCAAAAAGAAAATGTAAAATCCCATGAGATGAAGCACGTTGGCCAAAAGTCACACGCACGCATACATATCTCGTAATTAATATCACGGGTCCCTGGTTATTCCAGTCGAAGTGAGCCCCTCTTTATTAAACCTTCCAGAAAACCGTTTTTTTTTGTTATATCGCATAAATATATGAATGTGTAATTAAACCCGCCACCACCCGGCACAACCAATTAGTAAGGTTTTGTCATGTAAACAGAACATGACACTTCGTTACTCGTACAGCACACCGGTGTGTTGGAGAGCAAATCAACAACATTTAAAATCTGAGTACGACGTTTTGGCAGTAATTACAACGAGCATCATCAGGCAGGCAGCCAGACCTGGATGTCCACCTGATCAGATTGTAAATGTTGTGGACTTGCTCTCCAACACACCGGTGTGCTGTACTGATAACGAATTGGCATGTTCTGTTTACGTGACAAACCTCACTAATCGCCTGCGTTGGGTGGAGGCGGGTTTAACGACACATTTATAATTATTTGATCTCAACAAAAAAGAACCTGTGTTATGGATGATATTGGTCGCGAAAGCCCACTGCGTGTTAAACTTACTCAATCTTGTCCAACACAAATACGTGAGTGCTGTGACTGACTGACTATGATCCACAAACAGACAAACCGAGTTTCTGAATTAAGACCCAGAGGCAAGAGCGTATAGAAAAGAAAACAAAAAACACAATCCCAAAGCGTGGACCACCTCGAGCAGGAATTGAACCCAGACAATTGGGACTGTAGCCCAGGCATGCTACCACTGCATCGGGGTGACCCGCCAATAATCACATAATACCACGTATTGCACGTAGTTCATGCTGAAACATAAGATGTGCTTTGTGCTATGGTAATGTCCAGAGAGTAAGCTGGCTTTGCCTATGTGAGCATTGGCTAATGCTGGCTTCCAGATGATGACAGTGGAATGGCGATGCATGCCCCCGTGTGTGTTTTTCTCATACCGAGCAAAAAACGAACACACTTGCAGTGATTACTGCTGTTTATTTTGGATGTCGTTAGGTTTTTTTTTTCAATGGGCACTGGATACGTATTTCAGAAGCCTCCATAAACTGAAATACAACGCTGTTGTATATTCGTACATTTTATAACGGTCTATTTCAACAGCCAAAAAAAGTCTAATAATATTTGGGTCTATCAGCCAATGGGTCGTTTGGGCCAAAGTTTTCCAGCAGCATTTGTTTAAGCAGGCAAGCATAATCAGGCGAGTGTTCGTTTTCTTGACACTAAATCAAAGAAACATTACAATAATACGATCTTAATTAATTTCCAGAACCACAATGATGCATTTCAACCGCCTGAGAAAGCATTTCTCAAAATACTTTTTTGAGCTGTTGCTCGCCTATGAACACAACGTGTTTGAGCTGCGCTTTCTTTAAGACCACAATGTGCTTGACAGAGGTGGCTAGGAGTCTCCGAAATTTCATTTACCAGTTGCCAGTTAAAAGCCCACCGAGCTATTTGCTCTTTTGCAGAGGCAACCAACCCGGCCACACGTGACAGCCCATCGAAGTGGCGTACGGCATGTGGGAGTTTAAAAGCAGCCAAATAATCATCAGAGCGCTCAGCTGGTTATTGCTGCTTTACTGATATCATGGCTTTGAACCGGGTCCTCAAGTGCCGTGAGTTTATGGTCACAGCCCAGTCTCCAATGGGTGCACAAGAGAACAATTACACTGCAATTGGTTTCGTACTTAATTTTACTAAATGTAAGCTTTGAGAATTCAATATCTCAATCTAAAAACTATTTTCTTTTTTTCACCAGGTAAGACCCGCTTGAGCTGTGTAGCTCTTTTTCAGAAGCGACCTGGCCACACATTATAGCTCAACGAAGTACCTTATCACGTGGAGAATGTATAGCAGCCAAATACTCTAAACGGATGTTGAGTCTAAATGTGGAGGGGAAAACTAGAGGACCCTGAGAAAAAAATCCACATGACCACGGGGAGGACATGCAAACTATAAATATGCATGCGTCAGGGTTGGGATTGAGCACATGACCTCCTGTATAGCAAGCGAAGTAGTTAACATCTTGCCACCATGGTGAGATGTTAACTTAGATGAACACTACTCTCACATGCACAGCGGGCGGGAAAGCGCTACCCTCTACTTGTGTGGACCAGAGGTCACGTGATGGGAACTAGGAGGGAGCTCTGTGATATCTTCAGTACTTCCGTGGGCTGACCTCTAAAACGAAGTGTGGCACTGCTCTTCGAAAGATCTGCCGGGATATTTTGTCTCCTGACATTTCCCTTCAATTGTAGGGGAATTTACAAATGTTAAAGAGAGTGAATGCGCTTATTAATTTGCACATACTATTTCCGATAGGGTTACAATATTCAATCAATAATAAGGCTCTGCATGTAACCACATCTCAAGAAGTTGTGCAAAAATGGCATCAAAATGTCACGGCTGAACAAATTTTGAAAGCTGAACTATATTTGTGTCCATTGCATAATGGTTGATAACACACAATGCATTTTCTAATGCCTCATATCACACGGTAAACGCTCCTGGCATCATCATGCCTGGATTTTTCACGTATGTATATCACAAAAAACCCAGGTTAGATATAAATCACCAGCCAGAGTCAAACACCCGGTACCTCACGGATTGGCAGAAAAACAGGTTAGAATGACGTGGCATTGTGTGGTGGCGTCTACTCTGAGAGTGAATGTATAATGCTTTATGGTCAAAAAAATGCACCCACATATTGTACATAACACTTTATTTCGTGACGTATAATTTAAAACTACTTTTAAAATATTGATATATGAAGTAAACATGGCAATTAAAAAGTTAATAAATAAATACACACGTAGGCTTTCGCGACCAATATCATTCACAATATAGGTTTTTTTGGTTAGATGGCGTAAGGGTTGTCACGTAAACAGAACGTGGCGGGTTTTAACGACACATTTACATATTTCCGCGATCTAACCGAAAAAACCTCTATTATAAAGTAAATACACGCTTGGACACCGCTAACATCACCGTTTTAAGCATGCGACGGTTCTGTGCGTGTTTGTTGTGTGTCTACAGTGTATACATGGCGATCTTCCATGATGTAATATCGCGAGCATCTGTGGCGTAACGCTTAGCGCACCGCGCTATGAAAGATCAGTGGCAAACATCTTGGGCCTCGCCTAGGTCGACTCAGCCTTAAATGAGTATAAACATCATCCATGGGCAGATATCGGTGGCCCGGTGTTGTTCCAGCCACACCACCGCCCAACCCTTGTGTGCCGTGCTGGCCTGAATAGGCGCTCGCCAATAGCACTTGCCCCTAAGGATCTGTATGCCTATGGGGAGGGGGTGGAATCTTTGTCTTTGTACATGCGTGGAGGTATATATCGGCTGTTTTGAACTCTGCTGTAACTTATCTACAGCAGGCATCAAAGCTGCAAGTGTGACTGGCCAAGCCATTTTTGCTTCACTCATATTAGCTTATCTTCAACAGGAAAAAAAAGATGACAATCCCCACGTGAAAAAGACGAACGCAAAAAGAGATTAACGGGAGCTGGGCGTCCCAACAAAAAAAGAGGCCTGCATGTCGGACAAGAGGCGATCCTACTCTCTTTAGATGTTGAGTGGAATTCACATCTGAAAAGGTAACTGAGGGTGGTCGGGCGGGCGGGCGGGTGGAGAGAGCGGATTTACTGGCCACCAAAGCCACCTACCTGGACAGCCAACCACCCAAAAAACATGCAGGGGTCGGCAACAAAAACAACAATAAAAGCAACTTTTTAAATCGAATTCGGTCAAACATATATGTGTATAAAACTCAATATTTCAAAGGCCCCGACGCCACGTCAATGCGAGACGCAGGTTGCCCACCCCTTGCCCTCACGAACTCAATGACGTAAAAACAAACACGTGTCATGTCCTGCGGTAGAGAATGCACACTCTGCTGCTGGATGAACGCATCCGCGCTTCTTATTGCGTTGGTGAAGGGAGAGAGTGTCAGGGGATACGACCGGCTCAACCCTCGCTTACCTTCTGAGATTCGAGGAGTTTTGGACGCGCTGAGGACAGTGGGGTCATATGCCTTTCGCATTTTTAATATGACTCTTCGAAAACGGGCTGTGATGATATCCACGGTTCGTATTTGAACTCGCCAGGTTCAGAGAGCTACACACCACGCCACCACTCCACCTCGAATTTACATTGAACCCTCAGCACACCACAATTCGAACCTTGTCCGTAACTCTTGGTCAAATCCATTCATTCATATTTCACTCCATGTACGGGAGGAAACCTACGTGCCAGGAGAAAGTCCATATTTGTGAGAGAATCGTACTTAAGCTCCTCAGGTAAGTCTGAAACTGACTTTCTGTGCTTTTTCTTAGAAGCAGCTTTCAGCTGTTAGACTCATGTTCCACATGCTTGATGCCTCCATCCATGTGCG